ATTCGTTTGTCTATTCCTTTTGGCGTTGACAAAGGCGCTTCTGAACCGGTTCGCCTGAATCGTTGGTTGATTAAAGGCCGATCAGCTGGCGGATGTAGGCAGGCGAAAATCCGTCATGGCGCAATTCGCGAAGCGGCTTTGATGTCTTTGACTTGGCGAGCTTTTTCCCCTTTGCATCAGTCAGTAGCCGATGATGATTGTAATCCGGCACCGGCAGGTCGAGCAAAGATTGCAAGAGCCGGTGAATAGCCGTGGCTTCAAAGAGATCTTGGCCCCTCACAACGTGGCTGATACCCTGCAAGGCATCATCAACAACGACTGACAAGTGATAGCTTGCCGGAACGTCCTTGCGCGCAATCAACACGTCACCCCAGATTTCAGGTCGTGCCTGAATGATGCGTTTGGTGCCATCGCCGGTTTCGGTCCAGGTCAGCGGTCCTGCAATTTCAACCGCTCTTTTCATGTTGAGCCGCCAACCGAAAGGCAAGCCGGTACTCATCAGGCTATTGCGATCGGCAAGGTTCAGGTCCCGTTCCCGTCCCGGGTAGTGCGGCATGCCGTCCGGGTCCATGGGCCAGTCACCTGACAACAGTTCTGATGCCTCTGCAATTTCAGAGCGTGTCATAAAAGCAGGGTAAACGAGGTCTCGAGCATGCAACATCGCCAAGGCTGCCTTGTAGTCAGCGAAATGCTCCGATTGTCGCCGGACGGGTTCTTCCCATTTCAGACCCAGCCAGTGAAGGTCCTCAAAGATCGCCTCAATGAAATCCGGCTTGCTGCGTGTCGTGTCGATGTCTTCAATGCGCAGCAGGAAGCGCCCGCCAGCCTGCTCTGCCATTTGTGCATTCAGAATTGCCGAAAAAGCGTGCCCGCAATGGAGCCAACCGTTCGGGCTTGGCGCAAAGCGGAATACGGGTTGTTTCATTTGTGTCGCGCATCCATAGTCCCGACTTCATAGGACCGGACAAGAAATTCGACAATGCAAAAGCTGGAACCCATCGAAACGGAAGCCGATATCGCCCGCGAGATGGAGGCGCTGCTTCGCATTGATCCGCGTCTTGTTCGGGTCGCTGAAATTGCCGGACCGGTTCCCCTGCGCCGCAGTTCTCCCGGATTCCGGTCGCTGGCATCCA